TTCAGAATAGTTACAGATCCATCACACTTGGCAGAGGGATGGGGATGGCGTGCTCTCCTAATGCTGGGCTTAAGCACCTTCTTGAACCCGAGCCCTGAGGATGGATGAGCGCCTGGAGCCGGGGTGCTGGCGTGTCCCCATGTGTCCTGCACAGCCCCCTCCCACCTCAGGGGGCAAAGCCTTTGGCACCTGGGCCTGTGGGCACCCCTGGCCACCCTGCGATGCGCTGCTCCTGCACCCAGCGGGAGCTCTGGATAAAGAGCAGGGCAAACAAGGGAGCCTCTGGAGCTCAATGCCCTCACTCTGGGAAAGGTTTGTTTACCAGCTCCTGGCCAGCACCACACTGCAGCTCCAAACCTGAGCTCATCCCCCAGGATTAATTTTTACACAATCATTCCGCAGTCTATGATAATCACTCCATAAAAAAATGAAGAGATTTGGGATTTTTTCCAGCGCGGAGGATTAGGTCTAAAGACGAGTAATCTGCAGGAGGCTCAGCTGCATGCACACCACTAATCGCTCCTCACTCTTCCCAGCTTTAGCTCTTTCATTAGGATTTTGCACAGTGGGCTGGCTGTCCTTGCTGGGGCCGGCTGCCACAGACAGACAGACATTTCCCGAGGGATCCGGCCCTGTGCCAGCCCACGGGGCCACGGCAGCAGCCTGGAGCGTGGCAGTGCCACGAGTCCCTGCAGTGCCACGCATCCCCGTGGTGCCCTCCAACCCCGCAGTGCTGGGCACACGGCTGGGCTCATCGCCTCTCTCTCCACTACAAAGAGGAGCCTCTGGAACCAGCTCCCCACTCTGGGATCTCTCCAGTTCCCTTGGGAAGGAGGGGAAGCAATTGGCATGGGAGATATTAATGCAGCGCAACAAACCAGGTGGTGGGATGGTTCTAAAATGTAATAAACTATTAAAGAAATAATGAGCTTAAACCCAGAAGCCTTTAGTAAATTCCTGGTGGTTGAACCAGGTGGAGAGTGAATAATAACTTGGGAACTGGCAGTTTCCCTGTTCCAGGGGCAGCCATGTTCTCCTGAGCCCCCAGGAACCTCCTCCGGCAGCCGGCCTTGCCAGGCCTGGCTTAACTAACCCTGGTCCTGCACAAGAGCAGCAGTGAGTGCAGGAGGTAGCAACAGGCACCCCAATCCCCCCTCATGGGCACACCAGGACTATTCCTATTGTCTCCCACTGAGGCTTGGCACTGAATTCCCAAGGATTCCTGATGGGATGTGACCCCATCAGGGGCTCAGTGGGCTCCTGGCACTGCCAGAAGGGTGAGAGCTCACAGGCTGAGAGAAATCACTGCACGTTTTAGAGTCAGGAGGAGAGACGTGCCTGTTGTGCCCAGCAAGCATTTTTCCAAATATAATTAAAATAAGTACATCTCTACGACGGCTCTGACCACAGGGATAAGGATGCAACGCCAGGTTTTTAAAACAAAATAACGTAAGCACTTACAAAAGGACTCGAGCAGACTTTGGGTACTTATGTTCAAAATAATTGTCCCAGGAAACCCGATTCAGCAGCCACCCAGGCTGAAAGCACTTAGGCACACGTGGGCAGGCGTTCAACAAAGCATTTAGTGACCCCGGCGCTGCATCAGCAGGAACGCGGGGCTCCGGGCAGGGAGTGACTCAGGGAAACCGCGGGGCTCAGGAGGACGAGGTCCCGCCGGGGTTCCGCCTGGATCCCGCCTGGATCTCGCCTGGATCCCACCTGGATCCCCCCTGGATCCCGCCTGGATCCCGCCTGGATCCCGCCTGGCTCCTGCCAGGGTGCCACTGCAATCGTACCTGGTCATGCATGGGTCCCACGGGATCCCACCTGGTTCCAGCCTGAATCCCGCCCAGCCCGCGCTGGGGTCCCGTCCGCCCCAAGCACACACGGCAGCGTCCCCGCTGTGCCCCGGTTGTCTCCAGCCTCCGTGGCTGCTCCCACTGCCTCAAGGGCCGGCGTGCGAGGGTTCTTTAGCCCAGCAGGGTGTCCCCGGAGCCGCAGGAGCTCGCTCCTCACACCCTTCCCCCGGGAACACCTTTGCAGCCCAAGCGGAGCCGCTGTAATACTGCATACTCGTGGTAATAAATTCATGGATCTTCACACCCCAGCAGGCTGACAAGCACCTCTTTAAAACCACTTGGAGCACTGTGAGGCAGACCAAGACCCTTTATGCTTGGAGACCCCAAACACCAGCTTCAAAGGAGGGAGGGAAATTACAAAGATAGCCTTGAAAAAGTGGATTTCAGTGTGGGCAAATCTTCAAAGCACAAGTTTTCTGAGCTGTTTTAAAGACCGTGTACCTTTTGCATGAATAAGTCAAAAGAGGAAACCTTTCCTAAGCACTCACCCAACCTGACAGGTGGTTCCTCTGCTGGGCTGTGAAGTGACCAAGTCTCCTGGATCCTTCTGTGCTTCTCCTCGCTGGGCCCCATCCCTCCTGCAGTGCCACCCCTGCTGCCCGGGGACTCTGCCCCAGGACAGGGTGTCCGTGGGTCTGTCCCGCTGCCCAGCTGAGAGCTTTCACACACGAGGCACATTTCTCCTTGGAGAGCCTCAGATCCCAGCTAAGCAGATTTCCTGCCACTGCCCCTGCTGGATTTTCCTGACTTTAGGGCCGGTGTTTCTCACCAGCTGAGGGCTCGGTGCACCCGGGGCTATCCCAGGACTGGTGGGAAGCTGCTGGCAGCCTGGCACACGTCCTTGCAAGCTGCCCCTAGTCGCCAAGGCAGCTGGCAGAGCACCCTGCGGCCCTGTGGAGCTGCCCCCAGCCCCGAGCTGCCTAATTGAGGCGGGAGCGGTACCTGGGCCTCCCCGCTCCTGCCGCAGCCTCCGGCGAGCCGAGCTCTGTGTCAATTACAGGAAAATCAATGAAGATACTGTTCAGGACTCCTTTTCACCATTCAGCACGGATGATATCCTTCACTTTCTAGCACTGATTCATTTACTTTCGGCCTCTCCAGAGGCTCCTGACATATTGCTATCTCTGAAGAATCTGAAGCAAGAACTGCCTTTGTTTCCACTGCAACTTGTTGGTGGGGCTGGAGCTCACTGAGGGTCAGGGGAGAGGCTGCAGCACACGGCAGGGTTTAAACATTTCTTACCAAAACACCTTCCCAAGGTCCTCCCAAATCTCTTTTGCATGGGCAGAATCAGGGGGAAAATGGGTCCAAACACAGGACCAGAGTGCCATCAATGTCCTTACTCTGGCTGAGATGTCCCCAAAAGCAGTGACACCACAGTGGTGCTGCTTCTCTTGTTGGCCATGTTGGATCGGAGCAACCTGGTCCAGTGGAAGGTGTCCAGGGCAGGGGTTGGAACTGAATGGTCTTTCCCAGTCCAGCAGCTGCGAACTCTCCTGCAAGAGAAAAGCCAGGAGAGTGAACAGGACCGTGACACTACTCGCTCACTCAAGGTCAGAAACTACAGGAGATAATATTAAATGTTATAGAACTGATTCCTAAAATATTTAAAGCAAAAGTGTGCAGTTGGTTTGTCCTGGGAGGCCTTGGATTCCACGGGGACAACGCTATCCATGTTGAAGCTGGGGACACCGTGCCCTGGGTGGACAATAAGGGACATCAGGTGACAGCTACATAAAATGCCTATGTCCTGTCTTAAACCACTGCTATCTCCTGCATTCCCAGCCTTTTCTCTCGCTCCACCAAAGCCACAGACATCCCACAGCAGCGGGATATAGACCTCAGGCTGTGCTCTGGCCCAACTCCCACTGCAGGCAGAACTTCACTGATGCAAACCCTGCGAGCTCCTCGTGTTCCTGCTCTTCAAAGAGAGCTCCGTGCATGGAGAGCAGTAGGAAATAGCCCAGAGCAAGGACGGGGCTACAAAGACAGGATCTATTATTTATGAGGCACTTCAGTGAACTCGGGGCTTGGAGGCAGAGTGGGCTGGGGGGGGACCTTTGTGGGGGGAAAAATGGAGTTTGAAGAAACACTGAGAGTGATGCAGCATGCAGAGGTCGTGCTCATGAGAGACATCCCTGGGAATGCAAAAGGCTCTCTTGGAGTTCACATGGGATTTGCTCTGTGGTTTAGGGGGCAGTTTAATGACCCATGCTCCAAAGGCCAGGCTTTTAAAGAGCAAGGGGTCTTCTGAGCTGGCTCAGAGCATACACTGCCTAGCACAGCCTCCAACAGCTCTGTATATGCCACCCGGGATCTACGGTGTCACAGGGAAATGGGAGCTGGGCATGCCGTGCACACACCCAGACATGGGTCCCCAGCAGAGGAGCAGGGTCCCCAGCAGCAGAGGAACAGGGTCCCCAGCAGAGGAACAGGGTCCCCAGCGGAAGCACAGGGTCCCCGGCAGAAGCACAGGGTCCCCAGCAGAGGCACAGGGTCCCCGGCAGAGGCACAGGGTCCCCAGCAGAGGAACAGGGTCCCCAGCGGAAGCACAGGGTCCCCGGCAGCCTAGGCCCCCCATGGCTGAGCCATACTCAGGCCTCATGTGTATTTGGGGTCTCCATGGGGCCCAGGGGGTCCCCTGTGGCTGCCAGACTGGGCCACACAAGGTTTTGGGGGTCACTTGGGCACCCCAAGGCAGTGGGAAGGGTGGTCTGGGCACCTTAGGGTTGCTGGGGGAGCACTGGGGATGTCAGGGTGGGCACACTGGGGGGAAACTGCTGTGGAGGAGACCCCGAGGCTGTTGGGGGGTACTGGGGCTTTCTGGGGGGCACTGGGGCTTTTGAGGGCACACTGGGGACGCTGAGGGGACACCTGGTGTCGGTGGTGGGCCCGCTGGGGCCGGGGGTGGCCCAGGGCCTTGCCGGGGCCTCGCTGGGCCTGCCGGGGGTCACCGGGGGGCCGGGCTGCGCCCGAGGCCGTCGCAGCGCGGCTGCCGGGGGAGCGGGGGGGCCGTGCGGGGCCGTGCGGGCGCTCCCGGCTGCCATTTCACCGCCCCGTCCCTCCATTTTCCTACGAGCGCGGCGGAGCCGGCCCGGCCCCGGCCCCGCCGCCGCCCCCAATGTAGCGGCGCGGCCGCCCCGCACCCGCCCAGCCGCGGGGCCGCCTCCGGCATGCGGAGCTGCAAGATGGTGCGGGTGGCCAGCGTGCTGGGGCTCGTCATGCTCAGCGTGGCGCTGCTCATCCTGTCCCTCATCAGCTACGTCTCGCTCAAGAAGGACAACATCTTCGGGGCGCCCCGCGCCGCCGGGCCCCGCATGTACATGTTCCACGCGGGATTCCGGTGAGGCGCGGCCCGCCATGGCGGCCCGGGCCCGGCCCGGCCGGGCAGCGAGAGGGGCGCGGAGCGGGGCCGGACGGCGCCGGGAGCGGCCACCGCACGGGCCGGGCTGCGGGGAGGCGGGCGGGGGCACCGGCACGGCCACGGCGCGGCCACGGCGCGGCGGCGGCGCCGGGCGCTCTCCGTGGTGCTGATGGCGGCGGCCGCGGGGGCGGGTCGGGCTCGGCCGGTAACGGGCTGTGGGTCTGTGGGGGTGTGTGTGTGGTTTGTGTGTGCACGTGTGCTGTGTGCTTGCGTGGGCGTCTCTGTGTCTGCGGGGGTGTCCTCATGGGTGCTGCACGCATGTCTCTATGTGTCTCCATGTGTGTGTGCGGGTGTCTCCGTGTGTGTCCCCATGGCTGCGCACGGGTGTCTCCATGTGTGTGCGTGGGTGTCCCCATGTCTATCCGTGGGTGTCTCCATGTGTGTGCCTCCATGTGTCCCCATGTGTGTGCATGGCTGCCTCTGTGTCTCTATGCATTCCTGTGTCTGTGCATGGATGTCTCCATGTGTGTAAGTTGCTGTCTCTGTGTCTCCGTGTGTCCCCATGCGTGTGCATGGATGTCTCCATGTGTGTACATGGCTGTCTCTGGGTCTCCATGTGTCCCCATGTGCGTACATGGCTGTCTCTGTGTCTCCATGTGTCCCCATGTGTGTGCATCGCTGTCTGTGTGTCTCCGTGTGTCCCCATGTGTGTGCATTGCTGTCTCTGTGTCTCCATGTGTACATGTGTGTGCATGGCTGTCTCTATGACTCCATGTGTCCCCATGTGTGTGCATCGCTGTCTCTGTGTCTCCATGTGTCCCCATGTGTGTGCATCGCTGTCTCTGTGTCTCCATGTGTACATGTGTGTGCATGGCTGTCTCTATGACTCCATGTGTCCCCATGTGTGTGCGTGTTTTGGCGTCTGTGCCCACCTGCAGGTCTCAGTTCGCACTGAAGTTCCTGGACCCCTCGTTCGTGCCCCTCACCAACTCCCTGGGCCAAGAGCTGCAGGACAAGCCCTCCAAGTGGGTGTTCAACCGCAGCGCCTTTGCCCACCAGAGGTGAGCCAGCACCTGGGCACTGGCACTGCCCGGCCGTGCCCCTTCCCAGCGGCATTAAGGGAACGCAGCACCCTGCTGAGCACTCCGGGCAGCTAAGGGAACGCAGCACCCTGCTAAGTGCTCTGAGCTCTGAGGAATTTGCCAGAGGCAAGAGACAAAGGCTGAACCAGAGCTTTCCCCCAGACACTTGCAGCTGTCCCGAAAGACTTGATTATTTCAGAGCAGGACACCAGGCTGCAACACACTTAGTTATTGTACTAGAACGTGACCCAGTTTCCTGGTGGGCAAGTGGAATTGTCATTACTCCAGGATAAATAGCAGTGGTTTAAGAGTGGAAGCACTTGGCCTGTAAAGCCATGAAAGGCTGTGCTCATGGAGGCCAGAGGCACACAGAGAAAGTTCCCAGCTGCTGGCAGTTCTGAGCAAGTGCAGTGCTGCTCTGCCTCCAGCTCCGCTCCAGCTGCGGGGGCAGGCACACAGCTTTGTGCTCTTCATACATACATCTATTTGCTGATTGCATATATTTAGCATTTCTATAAAAGAAAATAAAACCATGTAGCCATTTAGGACAGCTACTGCCATGTTGGACTGTAATTTTGTCCTGCCAAATGCCTGCTGGTTTAGGGGCTGCCTGGTGGCTCTGCTCACATGTCCCACCTGCGGAGCAGGAATCTGGCTCTGTGGCCAGGCAGGATGGGGCTGCTGCAGCCCTCAGCGCAGGGTTTGGGCTCTTCTCCTCCCTTCAGGCCACAGTCCAAGGACAGCAGGACAAGTACTTCCCTTGGCACTTAGTCCCACCTTTTCCCAGGACCTCCCAGGCTGTGTGACAGTGACAGTGGCCCCCCTCGGTGCTGCTCCATCCGTGGCACCAGCAGCTCCATAAGCCTGCTCCTGTGCTACCCCTCGGATGATTTTAGCTGATGCCTCAAGGAGCTGCCTCTGCACTTGTCCATCAGCCAGAACCCATAATTAGGGCACCCAGTGGGACTCCATTAATGCTCAGACATTGGAGGATGTGAGCTGGAGGAATGGTTGTTTGTTTTCCATAAACATAAGTAAATAAAGTCCTATTCAGTTTCTAATTTTATGCCCTGCAAGGGAAATTCCCAAGCAGGGTTGGTTTTGTTTGCTTTGTAAGTATCCCTAATAACCCTCCTAAAAGTGCTGCTGTGCTTGCCCAAATATGAATTAAGGAACTATATTTGCATAGATGGAGACAGTGACTGTTGCTTGGTTTTGTGATTGGAAGCTTGTTAATGAAAACATAAATATAAATATATAAAAATTGTCTCCTGTTAATTCAGTTGGATATCCTGGGTTTGTTTCACGTGCCTTGTGGCAGCACCAGGAATGAGAGGCACACAGAGTCCCAGCAGAAAGCTGTGCCCACCCTGTGTCACTGCCCAGACAGGGCGGTGCAGTGCTGGGTGGCTGCGGGGTTGTAATGGAAGCTGCACCCCTTGCCCTAAGCAGCCAATCCCATATTTTAATCCTGACACTTTTCCAAGAGGCACGGGCACAGACTGAGCTGGCATCAGTAGGGACCAGCCAGTAAATCCAAGTGGAGCTCTAACTGAGGAGCCAGCTCCCTCATTCCCATCTATTTATATTGATTTAAAAGCCACTGCACCATGTTGCTCAGGAAACTACTTCAGTACACTTTAAATTAAAAAAAGGAAAAACATAAGTCTAGGTGGCAAACAAATCCACTGCAAAAAAGGGTAATTAGAACTGCTCGTTTTCTGCTATTTTGCTCTTGTTTTAGGCAAGAAATCCTTCAGCATGTTGACGTCATCAAAAACTTTTCTCTGATCAAGAGCAGCGTTCGGATCGGGCAGCTGATGCACTACGATTACTCCAGCCATAAGTATGTGTTCGCCATCAGCAATAACTTCAGGTCTCTGCTGCCTGACGTGTCTCCCATCATGAACAAGCACTACAACATCTGTGCCGTGGTCGGCAACAGCGGCATCCTGACCGGGAGCCAGTGCGGGCAGGAAATTGATAAATCGGATTTTGTCTTTCGCTGCAACTTTGCTCCAACCGAGGCTTTCCAGAAAGATGTTGGAAGGAAAACCAACCTTACCACCTTCAACCCCAGCATCCTGGAGAAGTATTACAACAACCTCTTGACCATTCAGGATCGCAACAACTTCTTTCTAAGTTTGAAAAAGCTTGACGGGGCCATCCTTTGGATCCCCGCTTTTTTCTTCCACACGTCGGCGACAGTCACGAGAACACTGGTTGACTTCTTTGTTGAGCACAGAGGGCAGCTAAAGGTCCAGCTGGCTTGGCCAGGAAATATCATGCAGCACGTTAACAGGTGGGTGGCCAAATACACCTCCTAACGATTTTCCCCCCCATGCCTGATGTGGGAGGCACATCTGACTAGCCAGGAGCACTGCTTGCCAGAGCCAGATGTTTTGTGGTTGCTTCAGAACAGCCTCCAGCTACTTCTGAGCAGCCTGAGTCTGAGTCCCTCTTGTTTTCCCAGGTACTGGCGGAACAAGCACCTGTCCCCGAAGCGGCTGAGCACAGGTATCCTCATGTACACCCTGGCCTCGGCCATCTGTGACGAGATCCACCTGTACGGATTCTGGCCCTTCGCCTTCGACCCCAACACGCGGGAGGACCTCCCGTACCACTACTACGACAAGAAGGGAACCAAGTTCACCACCAAGTGGCAGGAGTCCCACCAGCTGCCTGCAGAGTTCCAGCTGCTCTACAGGATGCACGGTGAAGGACTGGCCAAACTCACCTTGTCGCATTGTGCCTAAGAACCTAAATCTTGAAGTGCCAAACAATTGTCTAAAAAAGTGCCCAAAACCAAATTAAACATTCTTCAGATAGAATTCTAAAAAGGAAACAAACCCACCCTAGAATCTTTTCCATAATTTAAAGATGCTTTTTAGCTACTGCTCATCCAAGGTTTCAGCGTATTTAGCGGTGCAGAAGCTTTTATCATGTTCTGTGGATGCGATTTGTGCAGCTGCAAAGTTGAAACATTTTGCATTTCTAGATAAGCCACTCAGTATGTTTTAATATCTGTTCATATTTTAGCATTCTACTAAACACCCTAAATAATTTTGTTGTTCCTTGCCATTAGAGCTAGAAATGCTACTTTTAAAAGGTTTTGCTTCTTTTGTATCTGTTGCTGTCAATAGCTCAGCGTTGCCGTGGCCGATGGAGGAAGCCACTCGGAATTCCAGCCCATTGTCACACACAAGCTCCTCAGTGTGGATCCTGATTTCCACCGCTTGGGTATTTTCCTATTTACTGAATTTTACATTTTTTAAAGAATAACAAGAAGAAGGTCACAAAGTGGCTCATACCTTAGCTAGGTGTTTATATCACTCTTGGAATACTTCAGTGTTTTAATTCCTTTTGGGACAGATCCTAGTCCAGACTAGACAGACGGAGGCATGTTCATTCCCATCCTGGATAGCTGATGCTATTCTGTCATTTGATTTTAAACTTAAACCACCACAATATAGAGAATTAGGCTTCTCTGGAGACCTATTTGGTGAGAAAAGCCCCAAACCCCTTCCCTCTGCTTGGGCAGGGACTGGCAGGATGGGCAAAAATGGAAGCCAGGTGCTGGGATTTTTAAAACCAGTTTTTGTAGGGAAGTGAGCAGAGCTGGAGGGCAGGGAAGACGAAATGCCAAGAACAAATTTCCCCATTTATGTCTGTAACTCACCAGTCAGCCAGCTGGAGCAGTGTCCCCCTTCTCCATCACCAGCAGCACTCCAAGGCAGACAGGGCAGCTGCTTCCTTGGCACCACAGGAAATCCAGCTGTTTGGGGACAGGACAAACAATAGGGTCACTTACAGTTGGGGAGTGTTGGCCATTACATCTCAGGATAAAGGAGCCTGGGAAATAACTGGGTTTCTTATGAGTATGAGTATGCTGGCAAGTATTTAACCATTTTTTACTGTTCTGAGTGAGAACTGACCCCACAATGACAGAAGATGCAAAATCCAGTATTTAAAATGGCACAAGTTAATTTTCCTTAGCTTCTTTACCTGTGTTCAGACATAGGAGATGAGGAAGGAGATCTCCAGCACAGCACCCAAGCTGAGCAGCCCAGGCATGTCCTGGTGCCCACTGTGGCACTGCAGCTCCTCTGGCCCTGCAGCCAGGATGGTTCTCCCCTACACCCCTGGGTGGAGAAGGAGCTGGTGGCTTTCTCCTTCATGGGAAATATCCCACATTTCCCAGCTCATGGAGCCACACTGGGGCAGTGGTGATGTCTCCCCAGTGCCAGCAAGGGCTGTGGGGTCACTGCCTCTGGGAGCAGTGGGGCTGGCAGTGACCGGGCACCGCTGCAGGCACCCTTCTCCACGTGCTGGAGCACGCAGATGGTTTAGCCCCAAGCCAGAAATTGCACAGGGAAAGAAGAGCTCTGCTCTGGTCGTTAATGAAGGGCAGGAATGAATAATTTCTGCTATTGTTTCCTGTGGAGCTGTACAGCAGCCGTGCTGGTCACTGAGGCCCATGGGAAAGCAGTGCCCAGCAACTCCAATCCTAACAGAGCCCACGGGGGCAGAAGGGTCACCCCAAACCCTGAGTGACCCTTCTTGGCCTCTCTGAATGCCGGGTATTTTTATCAAGAGGCCTTTTACCAGTTTCCTGTGGGGACCCATCACTTCTCCTCAGCAAATTAAAGAAATGAGAGCTATTATCATTATATTGGCATGAAAGCAGGGAGCAGTGTGCTCCATACAGTTCTGGAACCTCCCGTGGTCCTGGAGAGGGGCAGAATCCCCTGCCAGTCCTGGGCACAGCCCTGGCATCACCACTAGAACTTTCCAAAAGCACAAAGAGGCACCAAATGCAGAGAAGGAAGCACAAAACTGACTGCAAATATTTGGAAATGGGAACACAGAAAAATTATTGACAGAACGCCATATTACATCATTGATTTTTAAGCAAAACTCCCCATCGATGCTCCAGACCCACATTGAACATTTCAGAATCATTGATTTTAATGGGGAGTTCTGCCCGGTGATCAATGGCACAGCACAGCCCACAGTAAATTGCTTCTTAGTATCAATATTCGTTTGCCCAAGCTTGTGCAAGGTGGAAAACCATCTCAAAGTGCACAGCTTTTGCTCTGCCACGTGGGCTCTGAGGGAGAGGTGAGGATGGCAGGGGATGGACAAGACAGTGGCTGAGGAGGAGAGACTCTTTGGGGCTGCCTCTCTCCAGCACAAATGCCTTTGCATTAATAAAAAAGCATCTTTATTATTTATTGAATAGTTATTTACAAGGTACTGGGGGCTGCCCTCCTCGCTCAGGACAGCCAGTGGCCCCTGCAGGTGGCATCACCTTCCCTCTCTTTGGCCCCAAACCTTCCTGCATGAATTCCTGATGATTCAGGGAGAACTCTCCTTCCCATGACTGAATGTCTAGACAAGCCAACAGAGCTAACGCAGCGTGATCGATACCTGTAAGTACAAAACATTTGAGGCTCCAAAATCCAGACAAGTCCTCCTGAGCAGTTCCCTCCATTGGGAGACCCTGCTTGGCCCCTGGGCTGCCAGGACAGTGTCCAGTGGCAGCCACATCCCTCTCCAGCCCCTTTGCCAAGGTGCTGGGGGTGTACATAGGACTGGGAATACATGTTTCCTCTCTTCTTTCATACATCTCGGGTCTCTATTTTTGTTGCTTGCATCTCCTTGGTGAATGGTAGCAAGGCAGGTGAAAACAGGCATTTGGCTACCAGGTTTAATTGTAACACTAAGCCAAAAAGGAAGAGATTGTGAAACAGAGCTAACTGTGAATGGAGGCTGCAAAAACAGGGCAAATAGGAAAAAGCAGGTTTTCTGTAAATGAATGTGTCTTTATTTCAATGGCTCTACAGTTCAATGCCTGACGGAGTTGTTTTCGATAAAAAATATAAACATTAAAAAAAAAAGAAAAAAATTGCCATAATTGTAATAAAGGTTTCATTAGTAAGGGCCATACTAAAAGCATTGTTTATTTTTCAATGGCTGATGTTCATAAAGGGCCAGGGCACCTCTCAGGTGAGTGGTGGGAAGGACGCTGCAAGCGGATCTGCTCCAGCCCCATGACCACGGAGAGCCTTGGGACAGGGGCTGAGGGCTGGCACCAGGCTGTGTGTGTCCCCAGGGCTGGCACCAGGCTGTGTGTGTCCCCAGGGCTGGTACCAGGCTCTGTGTGTGTCCCCAGGCTGTGTGTGTCCCCAGCCCAGGCTGGAGCACAGCACTTGGTGCCCTGGCTCCCCTCGGCATGAGCATCGGGGCTCGGGAGCTCTCAGTGTGATCCCGTGGTGAGATGTGCCTGCAGCATTGACTCATGTGCCATAACCTGATATTGAATGCATTGTTTTTAAATAAAATGGTTTCTTGTGCATTGGGAGTCTGTAAAACTCCACTGCCTCCGCTTCTTCCTTATTATTATTATTTCCCAAACTGCTCAGGGCCACTGATAGGTTTTACTGGAAAACTTCACCAGAGGAGTTGCCAAAAGTGTTGCTTAATGCTGCCTATATTTAATTATGCAGTGCAACAGGCTTGGTGAGATGGATCAAATTCTGCACTCCTGTGAAATAGGTGAAGATAAAAAGTGTGGGAATGTGGGCACTGATTGGCTCAGGGTATTTGCTCATTAAGGTGAGTTACACCCCCACGAACATCTTACAGCCCACTGCTGTTATTACTTGTTCCAGGTGACCTGCTGCTGGCTCCAGCACTGCAGAGCCCTCACTGGCAGGAATTCTGCTGTGTTTTTAGGAGCTCACATGAACTCCCAGGACCGAGTTCCTCAGGCTGGCAGGCGCAGGAGCAGAGCCATGCCAGATCCTCTGTCTGTGCTGTCTGTGCTGCATCCCACCACTAACACCCACTACAGCCCATATATTTATCCTTGAGACCATCCTGGCAGAGCAGCATGGATTTATAGTCTTGTAACCCAATTTGGGTATGGGGATGGCATAGGAAAAATCCCTTCCTTCCTCTACCACTGGCAAATGTGAGGAAGGCTCTGCTGGCCATGGGTGCTGGGGCTGGAGGGTGCCAGTGGCCAGCATGGCTTGAGCCCCCTGCCCCATGTCCAGCTCTGTCCTGAGGGGCTGAAGCTGCTCGCTCTGCAGAGAACGGGCTTGTGACAGCAGTTTCAAAATGCCAAAGAAAACACTTGCAACGTTTGTTTAAAAGCAGGCGAAAATGACACCTGCAGGCCCTGGCCAGCTGCTTTAGAGGAGAACTCTCTGTGCCTGTGCTGTGTCCTGCACTGAGGTGTCACCCTGGAGTCACCCTTTCCTGCATGGCTTGGGTCAGGTGTGGGTGCTGCAGGACACTACAGAGAACCGCGGAGAACAAAAGACAAGAGGAATTAAATTTCATATTACCAGGGGAGCCACAGCCCAAACCAGAAGGATGCTGGGCAAGAAAGCTCAGCCAGGCCAGGTCAATCTCCAGGTTTGTCCCAGCCTGCCATCCCTGGCCACCCCACCGCTGCCTCTTGGGGAGAGCAAGGGCACCCGGCGGTGGCAGGGGAGGCCCGGCTGCAGGCAGACAGAAGGGAAGCTAACAAAGAAACCCCCTCCTCCCTCCCCCAGGAGCAGGGACAGCCTCTGGCAAAGGCAGCCATGCAGGCAGGGAACGCTGTCCCGCTGGGCAGCCCCAGCTCGCTGGGCTGGAAGCAGCAGCAGCAGCAGCCCCCCGGCACCGCTCCTGCCCACCGTGCCCAGCTGCCAGCTCGGCCGCACCTTGTCCTGCCTGTGTGACAAAGGACACCCGGCACCCTCCTGCCTCTGGGGGCAGGCACTGCCCCAGCAGATCGGACCCTCGGCTGCAGCTGCAGCACACAGGGATATTTACACCTCGATTCCCAGGAAGGTTTTGAAATTAACTTGGAAAGACACCAGACTTAGACGCTACGGAGTGTAACAAAACATCCTCAGGGGACACAGCCATCGGGTGCAGGTTTGGAAAGAAAAAGTCGAAGACCTGATGAATTTGTTGGAGAAGGAGAAGGCAAGGCAAGAGGAAAAGAGAGGAAAGGGGAGGACACAGACACCAGCTCATCTGCGGCACCAGATCCCCATCAGGGTCTGCCCACCCACCCTCCTCCCGCCTGCCCACAGAGGCACCTCCGTCTCAGGAGCGCTGCACTCGCCTCTTTTTTCTCCAAATCAACCGCAACTTTTGCCTTCCTTTGGGAAGGACAAAAAGATTTCACGCCTAAGTTGCCCTGAACAAAGGCACCTCACGCCAGAGCTTTCTTTTCTGTCTTCCTTTTTTTCCCCTCACCACAAGCTGGCAGCGGGAGGAGTAGCTGGGGTGGGGGGAACTCCACTTTATACCCGCCTGATAGTGCCAAAAAGCAACTCAGAAAACACCGTGAGCTCCAGAGACATTGCGATGACAGCATGGAAAGAAATTTATCATTATCCCTTGGGAGGCAATCTGTAGGGAAACTGGGCGCTGTCATACACAACCTGTTTGCAAGGAGATGCCAGGGGCTCTGGAGAGTGAGTGGCCTGATGATCGAGGGTCCAAAAGGCGACATTTCTCCCCAGTTCCCCTCTTTTAGTTACTGGAGGTGGGACTTTCACAAGTACGGAGACGACCATCAGGGCCGAGATAAGGACTACACAAAACTCAAGGACACTCAAGGCTGTTGTTGCTGCTGCTGATTAAAGGAGAAGCAGTGAACTGCACAGCTGGGAGCAGCGGGCACAGCCCGACCCGGTGTGTCTTGGCACGGGGGCCCTCACGGGCTGTGCCATAGCGGGCAAGTTCCCGCTTGTCAGCGGCATGCCAGGGTGTGCTGTCCCCTCGGGCCCCCGTCCCTGTCCGCTCCCATCCGCGCTGCCCCTGTGCAGAGCCGCGCTGCCAGCCGCACGGCCCGTGCCCTGAGGAGCTGTGCGCTGCCCCTGCCAGCCGCGGGGCTGAGGGCGGCCCGGGGAACCGGCCCTTCCCTGGGATGAGGGGAGAGCGCCTGTCCGTGTGTGTGTGCACCGGGAGCGGGATCCCTCAGCCGTGTGCCAGCGGGCGGCACGGGGATGGCGGGCTCCTGGGACTCACCATCCACCCCCGGGTGAGGTACATTCATCACACCTTATTAATGAGCCCGAATTCAGCCGCATTTAAGGCAACTAATAACCAATAACCAACAGCACAGATCAGCGCTGTACCTTGGTTTGCAGCAGCGAACAGGGAAGCAGCAGGGCCGGCTGTGTGCAGCGGGGCCCCGGGAACCGCCGGCTGAGGGCTGGGCTGAGGGACCGGGGGATATGGAGCCACTTGCCGGGAGGAGAGCCGTGCGGCGGCCGCGCAGCCGGCACCGCAGATCCCCGTGGCGGCGGTACGGGAGGAGCCCCGGCCGCTGTCGTGGCCGGTTCCGGGCCGATTCCGGGATCTCCTGGCGGCACCGCACGCTACAAAGGCGGCGGAATCTTTAACGGCCCCGCCGTCCCCTCACGTCCCCTCACATCCCCTCACGGAGGCCACGCCCCCCACCCTCAGCCCGCCAATGCTCCCGCGCGCCCGCCTTTCCCGCCCTTCCCACCGCCCTCACGCCCGCTCACCCGCGGCTCAAGCCCGGCCCCGCGGGCGCGGCCGGGGCGGAGCGGCCCCGGACAGCTCCCGCCGCCCGCAGACGGCGGCGGCGGCGGCGAGGCGAGGACATGGCGCGGGGCCGGCGCGGCGGGCCCGGCTGAGCCGCCGCTGCCCGCGGGGCGGGCGGCCACGGGCCGCGGCGGCCGCCGCCCCGATGAGCGGATGAGGAGCGGGCGCGGCGGCCGGCGGTGCCTGGGCGGGGAACCGGGTGCGTGCGCCATGAACCCCGAGCTGGCGATGGAGCCGCTGGGCAGCCTGCACGGGGCGGCGGGGCACGAACCGGAGATGATGGGCAGCCCCAGCCCTCACCACGGCGGCCGCAGCGCGGGGCCGCTCCGGGTGGCGCCGCCCCCCCCGCCGCCGCCGCACCAGGAGCTGCCCCCCGCCGCCCGGCCCGCCATGGTGCCCAGCATGGCCTCGCTGCTGGACGGCGCCGCCGAGTACCGGCCCGAGCTCTCCATCCCGCTGCACCACGCCATGAGCGTGCCCTGCGAGGCCTCGCCGCCCGGCATGGGCATGAGCGGCACCTACACCACGCTGACGCCGCTCCAGCCCCTGCCGCCCATCTCCGCCGTCTCCGACAAGTTCCACCACCCGCATGCCCACCCGCACGCCCACCACCACCACCACCACCAGCGCCTGCCGGGCAGCGCCGGCGGCGGCTTCGCGCTCATGCGGGACGAGCGCGGGCTGCCGGCCGTCAACAGCCTCTACGGGCCCTACAAGGAGGTGCCGGCCGTGGGGCAGAGCCTCTCGCCGCTGGGCAACGGGCTGGGCCCGCTCCCTGGCTCCCAGCAGGGCCTGCACGGCTACGGGCCGCCCGGCCACGACAAGATGCTGAGCCCCAACTTCGAGGCGCACGCGGCGATGCTGGCGCGGGGGGAGCAGCACCTGCCCCGGGGGCTGGGGACGCCCCCGGCCATGCTGCCGCCCCTGAACGGCGCGCACCACCCCGCGCCCCCAGGGCCGCCGCCGCCGCCGCACGGCCCCGCGCTGCCCGCCGGCCGGGAGCGGCCGCCCCCCGCCGCCGGCCCGCAGGGGAGCGGCGCGGGGCAGCTGGAGGAGATCAACACCAAGGAGGTGGCACAAAGGATCACGGCGGAGCTGAAGCGCTACAGCATCCCGCAGGCCATCTTCGCCCAACGAGTGCTGTGCCGCTCCCAGGGGACCCTCTCGGACTTGCTGCGGAACCCCAAGCCTTGGAGTAAACTCAAGTCCGGCCGGGAGACGTTCCGCAGGATGTGGAAGTGGCTGCAGGAGCCGGAGTTCCAGAGGATGTCTGCCCTGCGGCTGGCAGGTAGGTGCGAGCCGGTGCCAGGCGGGGAGCGCAGCGCGACCCTCGGAGCGCAGCGCCGAGCGGCTGGCGGGCCCCGCAGTGCGTCCTCCGCCGGCCCGGCCCGGCCGCTTCCCCGCTCCGCCGTGAACCGCGGGGCTGTGCGGAGCTAGTCGGTCCCCGCCTCCCGCGGCACGGCGCATCCCGGCTGTGTCCGGCGGAGCTGTGAGGGGCTCGGGGGCGGCGGAGAGGCGCGCTCCGCTGCCACGGCCGGGTGGCGGGGCCGGGGCTGCTCTCCAGGGCCGGGTGCTGAAGGTGCGCACTGGGCACCGCACCGCGCTCTCCGTGAGCATCCCTCCTGCGGCTGCCGGGCGCACCGGGGGGGCCGGGCGGGGGCTCCGCGTCCCGGGACAGGCGGGGCCGGTGGGAGCGGGCGGGGGCCGGACCCCGCGCAGCCCCCGCGGCCCCGGCCCGGCCGCATTGTCCGCGGAGGCCGCGCGGGCGCCCCCTGGCGCGGTCGCGGGGCGCCGCAGCCCCCATTGTTCTGCGGGGGCCGCGGGGGGGGGCGCGGGCAGCGATCCCCGGTACTGACCCCCGGTACCGACCCCCGGCACCGGCCCTCGCACCGCCCCCGGCAGCGCCCGCACCCGAGGGGAGCGGGACAGACCCGGCGAGAGCTGTGAGGCGTGCGGGGTGCGCCCGCGGCGCGGTGGGTGCCCGGTTGTGGCCCCCCGGCCGGTCCCGCGCCGGTGCGGACCGGGCCCTGCCGTGGAGCACGGCCGGAGCTGCCTTCCCGCTCCGCGGGAACCGCGCAACCCTGGAACTGGTTGTAGAAGGACACGGGGAACTGTGGCACGGGCAGGGACAGACCGCAGCATGGGGTGGGGGCCAGGGGCCGGGGCGCTCTGCTCTGACAGCGACGAAAATCACGGGGTATTTGTGCCACCGAGTCCGCCCTTCTTTTATTTCAATTGATCCCGTCCAGGGCAGATCGTTTCCCAGTGTGCAGGTACACAGCGGGCTGTTCCAGGGCTGCCCGCCTCGCCGGCCCAGCCGGAGGGCTCTGAGGGGCCCCGGGGGTCTCTGCGATGGGGAGATGGGCACAGGGAGTTCCCTCACGAGGGGCAGCTGCCGGAGAGGCTGGGATGCGGCGGAGCAGGGCGAACAGGAGCCATGCATGACTGATGGCCTTAATCCCTGGCCGACCTGTAAGCAGAGGTGCTGCGGGTTAAACACCCACGGCCTGGGCTCTCCGGAACTCCCGTGGAGAGTGCTCGGGCTCTCCGGGATGCGGGGCAGTCCCGGTTCGGGACAGGGACGCTGATCCCCTGCTCGGCTCTAGCGCTGACCGCAAACTCGGCTGTCCCTTCCAGCAGCCGCGGGCGTCCGGCTCCTCTGTGCTTGCAGCCAGGGGAAGGTGCCGGGCTCTGACAGGGGCGTCAGAGCGACACAAGGGGTTCGGGTTTTTTGCCGAGCACGCGGTGATGTCGCCTTCACAAACAAACGTGTATCGAGAGGGAAATCGATGCAGATAATGTTTAGAAGATTAAAAGAGCATTAATGCTGGCAACAGGAGCATCAACGCGTGGACCCAGTTTTCATTGATCTGGAACCTGAGCCGGCTCATTTCCAGTAACGTGGCGGGTGCTTTTCCTTCCCAGCACTGGTCCCGGGTGGGGGTTCCCCGTGGAGCCCTGCATATAGAGCAGAAAATCAGGAATCACAGCTGCATGCAGAGTTATGTCTGTAAAATTCTGGGTCTCTGCTTTACCAGGCCCCCTTGAATGCCTCTGCATCCGGGAGTAAAGTTTGGAGAGAGCTCAGGTGCTAAGTGGCCGTGGACTCCCCATGGAGCGGGAAAGACCTTTGCAAATTACCTTTCCCTTCAGAAAATCGATTATTTTAATTTCCTTTTATTACCACGTGTGAATATGCGGCCCCATTGCCTCAGTGCTTCCTTCTCCCCCTTCGCTGGCTTGCTTAAATCCCCCTGAGCATGGGGAAAAAGCCACAAGTATTTCAGGTTTTTAAAACAAAAAATACCCACCAGGTACCCACCACAAGTGGGGTGAAATCCGCTGTCCTTGAAGGGAAATCCCCCTCTCCCTGTGGCAGCCGTAGCAATGTGGGTGTGATCAGTATATTTTTTCTTATTATAGAAGATGTATAGTGTTGTCTGTCCTATTCTAACCTAATCCAATGTCATGCTATTATTTCTGTGCTCATTGTCTTTCCTCGGGGGTCTTTAGGAGCCCTCTCGGGGGCGGCCCTGGGGGTTCTGTGCGGGGCAGTTCGCGGGCACAGCGCCCTGCAGGCTCCCGGTGCACCGGCAGAGCGGGGCCCCCTCGGGACGGCTCCGGGAGAGCCCCGACGGACAGTCCCTACACTTCTGCGGGGTCAGCAGAGCGCCCCGCCGCCTGCTGCCCTTCTGCGGCGCCTTATTGGTGATCAAACGCTTTTGTACCGAAACACCATCCGCGGTTCATTACCGCGGAGCTGCCCGATCCGCTCCGTGCTCTGCCCTGTCAGTACCACGGAGAGCGGCGGAGAGGGACCGGAGCAGGGCCGGAGGGACGGGAGGAGAGCGGGAGCAGCAGCGAGACGAGACCGCGGGGTCCCCCGTGCCCGGCGAGCCGTGCGTGGCAGCGCCAGGAGCGGGCGGTGGCAGTGCCACGTCCCAGGGCTCAGCCCCTGCACCCCCAGGTGCCCCAGCCGAGGAGAGGGGTCTCACAGTGACGAGCGGGCTGTGCACACTTGTCCGCCCATCCTCTGCTTCTTTGTGCCCTACCAAATGTTTCTTCCCTGGATTTTGAGACTGTTTTGTTGCCTGCATCCCCAGCTAAAAATGAGGCATGATAACGTCTGTATCAGGCACGTTACCTGTTTATAAAGCTATTTCTTAGTGCTGAACTAAATATACAGGTATGTAAAGGTTCTTTGAAAGGTGCTTAGTGGCTTGAAATATTGGTGCTCTCTTCAGCTATAGATTAGTGGTTGTGTTTGAGCAATCCATGCGGTAAATTGTGGTGCTGGCTGATAAATTGTATTTCTCATGTGCCAACTTTCCGAAATCATCCCCTGCCCCAGCTCTTTGTTCCACATCATTTCTGAAGGCGTTTCTGCCACACAGAAATCTGAGTCCTCTTTTTGCAAAGCAAACGAGTTTTATCAGTTTCTTGATTATTTGATGAAGTTCATTCTGAGTACATTTTGGCTTAAATGCATTTCTGTATTTTCTCCGCTACTTTTTAAAAGAAACAATGAATTGGCCGTCAAGTGTTACTCATTCTGAAGCTGTTTTCCTTTGAAGATTTTCCCCCCAGCATCTCTTTTTTTTTTCCTGTATCTCTTGCCCATCACTGTTTGAACCTAAATATCCCAGTCTCAAGTATTCCTCTCCAGCTGAAAATTGCCACCATTTATTTGTGTTGAGGAATGCATAGAGGTGAGAACATTTTTGCCCACAGGATTATTTCCCAGTAACGGGTGTCGGTTCTTCCCACCCTCTGTACGAGCATTTTTGCTCTGCGCTGTGGCCCCGGGTGCTCATCCTTGGCGCTCCTCCCTGGTGCTATTCACAAGTCCTTGTCCTGGATGTTGCTGCCACCCAGCAGCTGCAGGAGCCGTTCCTTCCCTCCCAATTAGCCATCACAGGGAGATGACAAGCGTCCTGCAGCCCCCGGCACGGCTGTGCCGGGCTCGGAGCACTGAAGCAGCAGCAGCCTCTCATCAGAGCAGCTCCCCTGGAGCTGCCTTCAGAGTGCGCACGGGGCTCTGCAGGTGTGCCGAGAATGGAGCTCGGGGCTGAAAGGGACTGCAGGCATCGCTTGTCCTCACGGCCTGCCCCTTTCTTCAGCAGCTCCCGAGGGGATTTTTTACCTAAGCGATCTCTTCCAGGGCTTACAGGTACAAAAAACCCTTAATGACTGGCCTTAATCTCACTTTTTGTCTTCTAAACCCTTTGCTTCTCATCTTACCCCCACTAGACACAGCGAAGAAGAACACTCCCTTCCTTCTGATAGCAATCTGTTTGTATTTAAGGCTCCCATCCTGTCTCCTGTCTTCTCTGGAAAAAGCCCATCATACCTGGGCGACGAATATGCAGGGAAAGCACTATATCCAACGGGACAGATAATACATCTCTTTTTCCAAGGTAAAAGATTTTGTATCCAGCTCTATCAATCTTGCAGACTTTTACATAAAAGGCTCTCTGATTTATGGAGGGGTTTGCACACAGAAATCATACCAAACAGACTAATCTCAAATGGGTTTGGTGATAGCATCAGCCAGACAACTCGCTGATGGCAGAGAGAAATGCAATCAAAAAAGGAATTGGAGTGTTTTGGGATTGTTTGGGGGTTTTGAGGTATAAAATCAAACTGCTCCGTTGTGAAAAAAGGGACTCAAACCACTGGTAAATGCTGCTCAGAGGAATTATTAGACAAGCGATAGAGGCTGGCAGGTTCCCAAAACGCAAATTGTCTCCAAGACCAAAATATCTCTCAGTAAGCAGGGAACATATTTATGAGCAGCGGTGATTTTCCAGCAGTTCTCATCCCCTCATAATGGGATGGGAGCACGAGGCATTAAGCTTTGGCAGGCAGCGCTGGGCTGCAGGAGGTGAAGGCAGGGCAGTGCAGGGCTTCCCACACACCTTCTCCTCTGTGCTGAGGGGGAAACAGCAGGTGGGGTGCCAAGAGAACACCTTCCTGCTGGAACAGCCAGCTGTGAACTTGTTTCACAGAGCACTGCAGGAATCCTGGATCTCCACACAGGGAACACCTCGCCATTACAATGGATGAGCAAGCAGATCTTCCCTGGAAGAACAGAATTAACTTTGTGCCATACATCCAATCTGTTTTTCAGGATAAATGCCATCAAGGGCATTCCTAGGGTTTCAAAAATGAGGAGTTTGGTGTGTGTGCAGCAGCAGGGATGAGCAGCAGAGGCTGTCCACCCCGACAATGTGATTATTTGCATCTTCATTCTGATTGCTCCTTGTTCCATAATGATTTTGTACACAGCGGAGTACTTAACCTAATTTGTATTGATCTCAATCGCTCTCATTCGTGCATACTTAATTCAGAGAGGTAATCAAATTGATTTCTGAGGCCTAGTTTTTAAAAGATTGTAGTAACAGGGATATACAAGGGGTTGCTTTAAGTGAATCACAGCAAGAGAAAAACATTTTAAATCTTTATAAAATGTTTTGATGGTCATTTCATTGTGTTCAGTATTACCAGAGTAATTACATTTCCCTCACACTGAGTCCTCTCCAAAATCGAATAGAGGAGCAGTTTTAGTTCCATCAGACAGATAACTGGGTTTGGGTGCCTTTGCCCCCACACAAACCACACGGGGCAGGATCAATATTCACCACTTGTCCTTAGGAACAGTGGGGAGTGAGGGCATACTGCTGGATTGAGTGAACATCGGTCTCTGCTTGGCTCCTTCTTAGCCCCTGCTCTTTGTTTCGTGGCTGCAGAGGGCTCACAGGGTGGGCCTGCGCTGAGCACTAGAGCTTCTCGGTATTTTTCAGGATTTCTGGCATTTTGGAAAGCCTGGGCTGGCTAGGTTCCTCTCTTGTGGGGAAGAAAATGGAAAATCAGAGTCATTGTTGCAGAAAGTCAGGCAAATGAACTATGAGTAGGGAAATTCAGTGTGATGATACTCAGGGTGTCACAGTGCCGTGCCGGGTCCCTGCATCCTCTTAATGCCCTTCAAGCTGTGGGGCTCCACTTTGGTCCATCTAAGGGAAGCAGCATGACCCCAATTCTGAGCAGTTCCTGTGTTGTTTCTGTTGAAGAGCATCTGTAATCCAATGCAGAAGAAAAATCTTCTCTTTTATATTTTTATGTATATTTTTTCCACAGTTACGGCTTTCAGTTCTTGCCGGTTGTCCATTTTCTTCCATAAGATATGTTCAGGTTTAACCACAGCTAATAAATCAAATTGTGCTTAGAATCCAGATGGTCTCTTCCCTTCCCTCTGCTGTTAAAACCTTTCTGTTTCTTCCCGGAAAATCACTTGATTTTATTAGAGTGCTCACCCCATTTTTCTCTGCTGAGAGATGCACGTCAGGCGCAGCGTTTGCCTTTGTGGGGCCTTTTCAAGAGCAAACTCAACAGTTCAAGGAAAGTATTTACTGAATGCATCAAAAAGCACATACCTCTGCATTATTTATTATCAGATACCAATAACTGTAAAACGCAGAGTATCTCAGGACATAAATTAGTGATGGTAGGAAACACTCCGCTCGTCCCAGTGTCCCGGAACCGATTAGGAGCTGCAGCAAAGATGCTGCTGCTCATCATGTCCCCAGCACCAGGGACATCACCTCCTGGATTCTGGACACGTGGCCAAGTGAACCCAGACTAACATCTGCTTGTTCAGCTCAGACAGGCAGCTGGATGTCATCTGTGCAGTGTCAGGGGTGCACTCAGAGGGCCCAAACTCTTCCCTCCTGCTGCCTCTGGGATAATGGCCTCACAGGAGCATCCCTGCTGCTTCCTGCTGCCGTGGCTGTGCTGGGAACGTTCACCACAGCCCCGGTCTGGTTTCAGCCCGACTCTCAGGACCAGCCTTCTCTTGTGCTTGGGGGTACTTTGAGGTCTGATTCACCTCCCTCCCAGAGGCAGCTCGGCTGCAGCCACTGGAATCTGTCAGGGTCAGGCACTCCAAGAAAATACCCCAGTTTCCTGCAGAAATGCTGTGAGGGTCCTCTCCCTGCATGGACAGAGGCAGTCAGTGCCACAGTGGCTGAGCCAGGCTCCACACAGGTACAGCCCTGACTGGGTTAATCACAGACATTTCCACAGTCTGACTTTTACTTTTGGCCAGCTTCATTTCACGTTCCAGACCTGCAGAATTATTTAACAGGGCTGCTTAAAACCCGCCCGCTTATCAATTCTCTGGGCTCATTTTGTCCCAGCACATTACCTAACCATGTCAACATATGGATTTTCTCTCTGTGCCCGCTGCAGACGGCCTGGGCAGGCTATTTTTAAGTGTGGGTGTGCTCCGGCAGCGGTATTGGTTTCAGCACTTGCTGTTCTCTCTCTGCTTATAAATACAGAGCAGCTATTAATACGAATGGGGTTTAGGATCCATTAGCAGGGCTCAGCGATGGCCCAGCACTGCTGCCCTGCGTGACCTGAGCTCTGAGGCTGGCTTCACCCTCGGGACATGCCCCGGGAAGGGGACAGGCATGGGAGCGGTGCCCTGGGGTGCTGGCACTGCAGGGGAGGAGCAGGGCAGGGCCAGGTGAGCCAGGGCCTGCCCTGGGTGGCCAAGGAGCTCCCTGGTGCTTTTTCCCCTTGGTGCTCACACAAAGTTGCTGCTACTGGAGCTTTGACTGGGGTTTGCTTTGGGCTGTTTCAAGGGACTAAACTTACATACAGCTGTTATTCCTGGCTTTTGAGAGGTACTGGGGATGTAAAAGCAATGCAGCCCACTGGATTCCTCTGGGAGCCCTCCGGTCCCATGTGCCAGCGTGGTGCTGGCTCAGCTGGTGACATTGCCCGCACCGTGTGACAGTGCCTGCCATCGGGGTGGCTGGCAGGGTCTGTGGGCACCACCCTGACGCTTTCTCTCTGTCTCTGCCACCCCCTCCCAGCCTGCAAACGCAAAGAGCAAGAGCCCAACAAAGAGCGGAACAACTCCCAGAAGAAATCCCGCCTGGTTTTCACGGACCTCCAGCGCCGAACGCTTTTCGCCATCTTCAAGGAGAACAAGCGTCCCTCCAAAGAAATGCAGATCACCATCTCCCAGCAGCTGGGCCTGGAGCTCACCACCGTCAGCAACTTCTTCATGAACGCGCGCCGGCGCAGCCTGGAGAAGTGGCAGGACGACCTGAGCTCCGGGGGCTCCTCCTCGGCCCCCAGCACCTGCACCAAGGCGTGAGGGGCGCGGCGCGGCCGGCACAGCGCGGAGAGCAGCGCGGCCCCGCGCCGGTGACTAAAGCACAATCCCCGCAACCAAGCCAGCCCGGCTGGTCCCACTCCTACGGCTTCTCTCAGTCTTAGCAGGCGCAGGCTCCACTTTAACCTCTCTCCACACAATACTATGCTCAGGACAGGCGAAGCAGGTCTGAAACGTAGGGGAGTCGTTCTTGAGGCAGGTTTCTCCTGAGCCCCGGGTTTCCGTGGCCGGCCCGGCAGCCTCGCGTGCCCGGCGCCTGCCGTGTGCTGGCCACACCACCCTGCGGCCACACGACAACGGAGCACAAAGTCGGATACTAAAAACCCAAGACCCTGTTTTTAAACTCAGGCACGGTTTTTTGTTAAGTGTTTTAGGGAAAGATCAGATTTGAGGTTTTTTTGGTTGGTTTTTTAGTTTGATTTAATCAGCTTGTTCTTGGATCAGAAAAGTTCAGTTCTCTTGAGCTCGAAGCATCAAGCACAAAGCCAGTAGCTCCAGCCACGGCCCGGCCCTGGGCTGCCCAGGGCGGCTGTGCCAGCTGCAGCCTGACATCCCGGGAACACCGCACGAGCCTCAAGCACAGCTGGCAGTTCCTCACAAGCTCTGTGCTTGTACCTAATGCACACTCAGGAGGTCGATGGAACTGCTGCAGTTCATGGAGCAAACACTCTGTTTTGGAAGACTTAGATTAATTTACATTATTACATCCTTTTTAGTTTCTGGGAATCTGGTTTCTCCTCGGCAACGGCTGTTACCGAAACCTTTTCAGCGTTCATTGTATTTTTGTTCATTTTATCAGTATTTTACGGTACTTTCGAGCAGGAAAAGAAACAGAAACAAGCCCTTCAGATGCCACTGACCGTTTCAGATGTGCCGCGTTTAGCTCTATCGCATCCCTAAGTTCCTTTTCCCTGCCAGCTCGCCGAGCCGGCAGGAACACAGCACACCAAAGAGACAGGATTTCTGCAAGCCAAAGATGTTTATACCTTGCCATTTGTCCTTGTGGCTGCTGGTGCGGGTGGCTGGCCGGCGCCGGGGGGGCCTGGCGAGCCCCAGGCCCTCTCTGCCGCCCTGGCGGCGGCCGCCGGCTGCTGACCGGCCTGGGCTCCGCCACAGACACTTGAGACTTTTTTATGTACTACTTAATCGAAACCAAAGAAACGTTTTCTGCACCTACTTCTTCTGCAACAAACTGTTCCATTGAAAGATAAAATAAAAATAAAAAAAAAAAAAACCAAGGAAGCATGTCAGGAAGCAAACGAGTCCCACACTGTGTTCTACAAACATCTCGGACGTTTTCGGAAGCAGATCTCAAAGAAAGGGTTGACAAGAATGAGAACAAAGCAAAGCCAGTACAATTGCTGCTTCATTTGACAACTCAAGTCCTCTTAAAGTCGAAGATTGTCTTTAATTTGTGCCTATGCAGTTTTTTCAAAAGAACAAGGAACAGAGCAACCAAAACCTCAACAGCTACAATACCAAAGATGAGGATTCTCACTACGTGTGTTTCAGTTTGTTTCTCCTCTTGCACGACTAATGCACATAACCCCACTGATCTCTGGACAGGTAACCACTCGTGAGTCTCCGTGCAGCCAGAAGGGTGGGTTCTTCTATGCTTTCCCTCCTTCTGCCCCACATGGCACCTCTCTGAGAGCTGCATGGACTCCAAGTGAGGATGTTGGGATTCTACCCTGGTGCATCTCCTCCCTGCAGGGAACACTTGTGGGTTGGCTGTGACCTGTGTGTTGGTCTCCTGTGTGTCTGGAGCCGTGGACAGCCACCCTCCTGCGTGTGACATCGGTCCTGTGACCTCCACCCTTCTTTCTCCTCCCCAGGGATAAACCTTGCAATATGTGTGTTCCCATCTCTGTCACTGTGAGTGCTGAGCAGCGCCACAGCCTGGCTCCAAACCTCCACCTGAACCAAAACCAGTATTCAGCAGTTCCTGGGGCAGTTCAGGAGCTGCTGCTGACATATTAGCCTTGTAATGTTCTTTGATCCAGGTCATGATGATCCAGATCATGACATGTCTAAATCTATCCTCAGAGCTGGAGCACATCTTGCTCCTCTCTGCCTTTAAACAAGGGCTTCATTTTAACTGCTTCACACAACTGCTGCTGTCACTTTCCAATTAAAATAGAAAAAAAATCAAGAAGCTGTGTCTGCTCAGGACAGGAAAAGTCTCTGGAAAGCAGATTCAGGATCCTCACAGCTAAATTGACAGCACGTGCCTGCTCTGGGGATCAAAGGATCCTTTGGCAGATTCCAAGGAGATTTGGAGAATCCTTGTAGCCAGACATGGAATAAAGTTGCCCAAAAATGGTCCCACTCTGTGTGGATGTATCCTGAGGGCTTCTCACCCAAATGCCAGATGTTTGAGTGCAGAGTTTGGAGCCAGCAGGCTGTGGAGCAGGGCCCAGCTGAAGTTTCACTTTCATTCCCACCTGAGTGTCCATCAGAGCAGCCCCTGGTGCATTTTGAGCTCGGCATTGCCCTCAGGGGAGCTGTCTCATGCTGATGTGTCCCCTGCAGTCTGCAGTGACAGGGGATGAATGGCACAGGACCAGTGAAAACCGCAGTGCTCCTTCCTCAGCTCCCCTTCCTGCAGTGAGAGGGCAGGGAGGTGCATTGTGTCCCACAGGGAGTGAGCCCAGGCATCTCTGAGCGTGTGGGACACTGCCCTGAGGGACACTGCCCTGAGGGACATCCAGATTGCACAGCTCTGCCTTCCCCAGAGGCAGAGGCAGCTGCCCACAGCTTCTGGTGGAGCCTGGCAGCAAAGACCTGGGCCTTTTGCTCCTGTCAGAGCTCATCCAATAGCCCCAGCAAAGGGAGTTTACATCAGGCACTGAATTACTTACAAATTTCTCCTCAGTGAAATTCCCTCCACATTGTGGAAGTGTTTGTTACACAGCATTACAGAGTAGCAACACAAATGAGGGTTCTCTGGGCTGGGGCCTCAAACCTGTCATCAGTCCCAATGCATTTTCACCCCAAGATCCTGCTGCATTTTTTTATCCCTGCATCTCTCATGGCCCTGTGTGTCTTCCATTTCACAGTCCACCCCCTCAGGCCTTTATGTAGCAGCTCCCTGAGACAGGAGCGTGGCAGCCGGACTGTGGTGAGGTGTTTGTCCTGCCCACACCCCACCAGACCCAGCAGCTCTGTTCCGCCTCCGGGCCCTGTGCCGATGAATCTATAGAGCTGTGTCATGTAACTTGTTGCTTTGTTTATTGTGCTGCCAAAGACTCGTGTGTACAGAGAGTATCCCAGCATCACCTTCTGGACCAGGAACTTGGAGCCGCAGCCTTGGGCACAGCCCAGATGAATTCAGCTCTCGAGAAGCCCTGGCCATTGCTGGACGTGCCCTGCAGAACGCAGAATGTGCTGGCCGAGTGCGGTTGCAAAGCCGTGTCCCTTCAGCGGAGCCCAAAGAGCTGCGGAGCGCCCCGGGAGGGCAGGGCTCCTTCCCCGGGGAGGCACGGGTGGCCCCGCGCTGCAGGGCGGGCTGGCTCCGGACACGGCCCGGCTCCCCTGGCGGGGCACAGGCCCCGAGTGTTTGTGTGACACGGGGAAACTTTCTACTTGGCCTCCTTTATATTTATTATGGGGAATTTTTATCGTTTAAATTTTTTAAGAAGGCAAAGCTTAAAATGGTTTTATTTTTTTCCAGACGCCTGTGGGTTTTAACCCGATATATGATCTATCAATAATGTAATTTATTTAATTTAGTCTTAGGGCAGGTCCTGAGATCTCTGTTCAGTCTGAATCCCTTTGTGTTTCGGTCTAGCTTTTGGAGTTTTGCCTGAATGTAGGTGGGGGTCAGGCTCTGGTGTTAGCCATTTGTGTCTATTTAATTCAGCCATTTGTGAGTTCATTTGAGAGTAACTTTGCTTATTTATCTGCAGGGCTGTTGTAGCGCATCGGGGATGCGACGCCTGTGAGAAAATTCACTTCAGAGCTGGTACTGCTTTGTAGAGCAGCCAGCTTCAGTCACACAGGGGAACAACAACTCGTTCCCTAAAAGTCTAGTTTTAATCCCTTCTTTTAATTCATTTTAATTGTTTAAATATCAACGTTTAAATTATTTAAGTTAATCTCTTCCCTCCTGATTAGAAAATGTGACATACCTTTAGTATGGCACATGAAGCCTTCATAATATAACTTATTTATTTAACTTATTCATCGTCACCCGGGGATGCCCTTGTAGAGTTTTTATTTTTTAATTAGAGTTATCTATAAAGCACTACAGCTGATTTCCTGTAAGAACAGCAGAGCGAACTTTGAGGACAAGCAATGAATATTCAACCTAAAACTGTGCGTTCAGAAAAATAGGGGAAAAAAAAAAAGACACTAGGATACTTTGCCTGAACTTTGTGGCTTCTTAAAGCTTAAGCTGGGGGGAAATAATCCATGCCAAGCAAAAAGAGAGAAACCCTTAAACTAGCTGCTTCCAAGAATGAACTTCTGTGTGTGGAAAAAAAAGAAAAAGGAAAAAAAATGAAAAAAGAAAAAAAAAAAACCAGAAAAAAACTTTCTATTTCTAGTGAGAACCAAAGAGGCTACCTCACTGACTTTTCCATTTGTAATTTTAATCGTGTTGATGATACCAAAGATACCAAAGATTTCTTTCTCTGTGCGGTCTGCATTCTGCTTGTGCTCTCCGATAACTCCCACTGTTCTCTCCTACACCCAGAAACGTCCAGCAGAGCCCAGATTCCCAAAGAAACGCTACCCTGGAAGCTGCCAGTTCTGGTGATGCCCTTTTCTGTGTTCCTTCCTCCCTCCTGCCAGCCACAGCCGCCGCAGCCGCGGAGCGTTCCCGTCCCGGCCCGGCCCGGCCCGGTCCCGGTCCCGCCGGGCTGTGTGGGGCTGGAGGCGATTCCGGCCTTTGTCCGTCCGCACATCCCGCGGGGAACCTGCGGGCGCTGCCCGGGCCCAGGGGGTGTGTTTGCAGCAGCAATTAGCAGTGCTAATTATTGTTATTGTTATTATTCTCGTGCCCGAGCAGAGCCCAGGGCCGGCGTGGGGCCGCAGAGCCCGGGGCAGGGGAGGAGTTGGTGCACGCGTCCAGGAGCTGCTCCCTGTCCTCACCTCTCCTACAATTACCGTTTTCAGATAAAAAT